TAAATGGTTGTGAATTCTATTAATTAAATAAATTTACTACGAATATAAGTTGTAAAATTCTAAACAGATTTATAGGTAATCTCGCTCTTATCCCTATTTAAAATATTTCAATTATGTAAATATTTTCTTAAATTGATTGGTCATATTTTTTAAAAAAATTAAAGTCAAAATGACCTTAGTTCTAATTTGATAACACTTAATTATATAATAGTAATTATTTAAAATATTAAATTAAACAAATATTCTTCTTAATACAAGAAATCATAAAATAAAAGGAAGAACAGTTCCCTTTCACTGTTATAAGAATCAACCCACTAGGCACTAGTTGATGTAAATTGTGCCCACTACCATTTTGAGGCTACACATGATCTCGAGCTGCGTTCCCATTAGGGAATGCACTATTGGAAGTCAAACTAATTAACCATTTATCTTTCTTTTTTTTTTTTTTCCCAATTAAACATGAGGGTCTTGAATATTCATTACAAATTATTAATTATTACAGAGGTAGAAATTAAACCTAAGACTTTTAAGTGGCCAGCATCATACTTGTCATTTAAACTAATAATCATTTATTAATTAATAATTTATCATTATCTTTAACTAATATAAACTGAATGAATTAAATTTTTTATTAGAAATATTAAATTAAATTTGATTTGAATAGAATAGAAATCCCGGAAAACAACATTTTACTTTTCGTGGTCAGAAGCGTGATATCACCGTAAATTCATCTGACCCATGTTAGTAAATAAGAGCACCTCATGGTATAGACCAAAAGAAAAACTAAAAATTTGATGTCGAATCTAACCATAGTCGTTCTTAGCTATATCTATAGCAACATTTACAAGCTTCATCTCCTTCTTTTTCTTCTTCTAACTTTTTTTTTTCCTTTGCAAATATTAAAGAAACATTCAGACCTATGCTTTTATCTTTTATCTTTTATCTTTTTTTTTTTAATTACTTTTGCAGTGTTTGGATGCTTTATTTTTAATTAATAATAATAGTAATTCATAATAGTCAAGCAACTTTAATTTGGAAACTGTTGCAAACTTCTATTTTTCTTTTTTGTTCTGCTTTTTTATTGAGATATTGATACCTTTCTTGCTTCTTCTTCTTCTTGCCTCTTTTGTCCTGTTAGAGATTACTATGTTAACCGATGAAATGGAGCCTGTGGGATACTTGGATGAATTTGACTTTCTATTTACCGACATTGAGAAAAACAATCCATACGAAATAAACTGAGTAGGAGTTCAAATTTCTATACTCTGTTTTATTTATCGTTGAAGGTAATTGTATAATAATAATCAGTATTTTGAAAATCAGACCGGATCGGTTAACTCACAAACTCACGAACTATTTTTTGATCTGGTTCGATATGATCTAATTTTTACTAAAACCCGGTCAGTCTTAATTCTAAACAAAAAAATGCTAAATTCTTCACATAAAATAAAAGGTATTGAAAAACTCATACCTTGAAATCCACTCACTTATTTTTGTTAAAAAAATTTCATAATAAATAAAATGTTCAAAAATTCTTATTTTATAACTAATAATTATTTATTATTTATTTAATAAAATAATAAAAAAAAGTATAATTTAACTAGAACACAAATATTTTTATATTTTGTGTGATTTATGAACCATTTAACATTTAAAATATTAGAAGTTTTATTTTTGGTTTGTCTTGGTTTGGACAATGAATGACATAAAAATTAGTAGACGCAAATTAATAATAGATGATAAATGGTTTGCAAAATAATCATATATTTATAAGGATAATGCAGCTTGAAACAATTCAAGAGGGATATTTTCGAATTTTACTAATTGTATTTACATTTCATAATTTTCTATTAATTAAATGTTATCATGTAAAGATGTAAATATCTTTTGCTATAGATGGGGAATTATGATAATTAGATTTGAAATTCAAATTATTTGTTGATTCTTCAGCAGCATTTATTGTGTTTAATTAGTTTCAATGCAATGACTTTTTTAGTTCCAACAACTTTTTATTAGTGAATTAATTATGATTAAATATATAATATACGATATCCCAGTTCAGACATGATGAAAGAGTATGAATTTTGTAAGGGTATAAAAATCCAGAAACTACGCAAAAAACGCCTCCAATCGGAAGACACTGTGGGTTTAAGAGCTCCACATAATCTCGACCGGATGACTACCATCCGTGCATTTTCTTGAATCTGGATCTGCGAATATGGTGTGATTCCCTTATTGATTCTAATGAACTTATAAATACATGCCCACCCGCCGTCCCTCTTTTACGGTCACAGAAATCATATTCTTAATTTTCTAAGCACAAAAAAAGTTATAATAACCCGACCTTGACTCAATTATTAAATAGTGCTTCACATAAAACTTAAAAGGTGTTTGTATCTGGAAAAATACTAAAAAAATAAGCACTTATAGATATAATCCGAGGATAAAACAGTCATATATATGTGTTATGATTATAAAAAAAATATTATAAATACCCAACAAACTATATTAATTATTAAAATTATAGTCGGATTAAAACACTTGTGCTCAAAGGTAAATAATTAAATCTACAATATCTAACTATATTTAGTGCGTGGTTATAACTTATATGTGAAATTTTTTATTTAATTTTTATTTTATTTTATCATTAAATAAAAAATATTTAAGAAGTATAGTGAAATATAAAAAAGTTTGAAAATAGTATTTATATTTTATACTAGAATATCCTAATACTATTGTCTATATTATTAATAAAGTTTTGTTGTGTCACTACTTAATAGATTACAATTTAAAATTAAAAACTATGAAGTTTAAAATATTTATATAAGAAGGATATGTATTTAATATTTTTTTGTCGTATCTGTTAGTTGCCCATCACATATGGTTTTTTATGGGGGACATTACCATGTTAATGATGACAATAAAAATTAGATCAAGCCAAAAAATCTCGAACTATAAATTAATATTATATGTAATTTATAAAGATAGATGGAAAAAGAAATGGATAATTTAACGTGCACGGAAAAATAAAGAAAACTAATTACCTCAAAAAATTTTGATAGATTTGTATGAGACGGAAATATAGCAAGCTATCAGAAAAACAGAATATCCTAAATAGAGGGTATAATTATATCAGATATAAATATTAAATATATTACCTTAAATTGATTATATGAGAATACCAAATTTTTTTCATTTATATTATTTATTTTTTATGCTAATTAATTTAAAATGCTCTATCACCTAGAAATCAAAAAAGATTGATAAAACAAAAATTTATCCTTTATCTGTTTTTTTGTTTCTCTATTATTTGATCTTGTCGGGCTGAATTACTTTTGTATTAATTACTTGTATTGAAAATTCACAAAGATCATTATTTGTTAGGATTTCCTGTTTCAATTGCAGCGATGTTATTTATTTGTGTTTTAATTTATGTTTTTCTCCACCATATGCACCCTTTACTTGACTTGCCTATATTTTCCCTTTATAGCGTCATAAAAATTTTCTCCTTTTAAAAATCTAATATATCTTTCATATTTAAATTATGTATGTGTCAGAATACATTAGGGCAATTTATGTATCTTATATAAAAAAGGGAAAATATCATTAAAATTTAATTATAAAAGTTATTAATATTAATCAATATTACCTATAACTTATAAATAATTATATATATATATATATATATATATATCACTTTACACTTATATTTTTTATTTGAAAACGGGGCGTCATAGATATACCCTTACTTAAACCATATTATAACTATATTGGAGAATATCGTAATGACACAGATTTATGTACATGCAAATCTATAATAGTAACATATCTACATCCTCATAGCTGGATAATGGTTTATGTTTCATAAAAAATACGTCCATGTGACACGACTTATTTAATTAAACTCCTTAATAATACTGGCGTAGCCGCAAGACAACCTATAATCAATTAGCCATTATTAGTATGAGCTAATAACATGGTAAATTGCTTATGGTAAAACATATAATATGGAACTCATACAATAGTATTCACACTTCTCACCACTCAAACCGAATAAATTAAATAAGATATTTCAACGAGATAATTTGCGTAAATAACCATATAAAAAAACAAATATAAAAATAAAAAATAAAAATGAACAGATAAGAAAAAGGGCTACTCAAAGACAGGAGAAACAGAAGAGACCTGTCATAAACATTCATCAATACTATTGGTAGATCTAAATTATTCACTTACAACAACTCCAGTTAAAGGTGCATTATAGATATACAATGACCTTTTATAATATTTGATAAGAAACCCAAACATTAAAACAAATATAATTAAACCTAGACCTTAAATCATTTATTAAATAATTTTTCCAACTTCTGTGAATACTAATATATGAATTGACATTTGATATCACACATCCACGACAAAATTCAAATAAAAAATAATAACGAAACTACCGAAAAAAATGACTAAATTTTGTCAGATTTATTATCATACTCCTTGGAATATCAAAATGGCCGACATGAAATAATTAATATTATAAGTGTTGAAAAATAAATAAATATAAACAAGGATAGATGGGTGAAAAAATCATAGAATAACTAATTGTTTTGTTACAATACCAACTATTAATTCAAATCACCAAAAAGTGTTCTATGTAGCTTGTCTCGACTGCTTAACGTATAAGAGCCGTAAAATTCGTCTCGGAGGAGACATTATATTACGAATCTTATAAAATTGTCATACAATTCTGTAATTTTGGTCTTAGAGATCGCTCCCCCATGATTATTTTCAATTAAAAGAAAAAGAAGGTGCGGAGCTGGAGGGACAAATACTTTGAAAAATTCTCATCCTTTTAAAATCGCTTATTTGTTTTACGGGATCGATTTTAACTATCATACTTTAAAAAAAAAAAAAAAAAAAAAAAAAAGAAAGAAAAGAAAAGGCAAGAAGGAGAACAGAAGAGAAATGATATACAAACAAGAGATCTAAATCACTTCACAACCCAGTAAGGTAAAATGCCTTTTATTATTGAGAACCAACAAATAATACAGACTAACATTATTATTTCCAACTTCGAAACCAATGCATTATCTCTCAAGAAATCAAATAAAAAATAATAAGAAAAACGAAATACTATTTGTACAGATTTTAACACCAAATGCAACTGAAATAAAAAGAAAAAAAAAAAAAAAGAAGGGAAAAATCAGATACAATTTGTACACTATTATCACCAAATGCAGTAGCTGCCCGCTTAACGAAGAGCCGAATGCGGGACAAAAAACTGAAAAACCACAATCTGTGGACTAGGGTTGTCACCCAAGTGGAACTGCATATGAATCCCTATGGTCGATGATACACATATTTTGTTCTGGGATCCACAATAAGACCCTTTCCTCCACTTACTTCTAAATCATGCCTGCATTAATAGCATTTACAAAATATTAGAATCTTCTTATTTTAACTGCACTTCGGAGTTTGGACCACGTCTGAAGAATTCAGAATAAAGGGATCAGAATCAGAAGGCAGAGCAACTGCTCCCGAGGAACATTGGTTGTATTGATATGAATGAATTATGAAATACAAATTGAAAATAAATATAAGATGGTAAAAGATAAGGAAAACTTAACTGGAAAACAAAGTCTGGAATGGTCAACTGCTCCCGAGGAACATGCCTGAACAGCTGTAGAAGCCGATCAACATATACCACTTTTTTCCAGGTCTAGAGATCAATTTCAAAAAAATAGTCATAGTAAAATTGCTGCAGGTATTGCCCCATTCACAATAAGAAATAGAATTAGACATACCACATTATCAACAAATAATTGCAGAGCAAATATCGTAGCCTTCAGGTGAAAAGAAGGATGAAGAACATATATAGCCTGCATGGGCAGATGAGGATTTCAAAGCTAAGTAGGAAGACAAATATTCCCTAATTAGATAAAAAGTACTGTTGCATACATGCAGGTTCCGCTGGTGTTTCCGACCAAGTATTTGTTGCAACCTTCTCATCCATCCCAGATCTGGTTGACTGTATATAACAGGAAAAAGTATATATAGAGAAGGCTTGTATATTTCAAGAAATGAGTTTCACATGATTGGTAATGTCAATAATTTTTTTCTAACTGATAAACTAATAGATCTGTCTAGATGCACAAGTACTGTTTCCATTCTTTGTTCAGATAAGCAAAACCATTTTAAGACCACTCTCCAATTATTGGACCATTATCCACTGGGTAAAATAGAAGTCATACATGAAATATAACAAAATTCTATCCAATAAAGCATTTTATAAAATAAAATGTGGAGAGTTCTATATATTACCCAGATAATCAAATATTCTGATTAATCTTTCAAGATGACAGAAAAGCGTGCCAAGCTTGTGATAACAATCAATTCCCACTTCTCACACAAAAGAAACTCGATAAGAATTTAATATACTATTAAAATCGTAAAGTTGAAGAACAACATAAGGTGAAGAATAATAGGGCTTGATATTTCATTATAGTCAGTTTAATAAAACCAATCAGCCTCTTTTCACATGTATTGGTTTTATCATGCATGAATATCATATAATCAAATATTCTGATTAATCTTTCAAGATGACAGAAAAGCGTGCCAAGCTTGTGATAACAATCAATTCCCACTTCTCACACAAAAGAAACTCGATAAGAATTTAATATACTATTAAAATCGTAAAGTTGAAGAACAACATAAGGTGAAGAATAATAGGGCTTGATATTTCATTATAGTCAGTTTAATAAAACCAATCAGCCTCTTTTCACATGTATTGGTTTTATCATGCATGAATATCATATAATCAAATATTCTGATTAATCTTTCAAGATGACAGAAAAGCGTGCCAAGCTTGTGATAACAATCAATTCCCACTTCTCACACAAAAGAAACTCGATAAGAATTTAATATACTATTAAAATCGTAAAGTTGAAGAACAACATAAGGTGAAGAATAATAGGGCTTGATATTTCATTATAGTCAGTTTAATAAAACCAATCAGCCTCTTTTCACATGTATTGGTTTTATCATGCATGAATATCATATAATCAAATATTCTGATTAATCTTTCAAGATGACAGAAAAGCGTGCCAAGCTTGTGATAACAATCAATTCCCACTTCTCACACAAAAGAAACTCGATAAGAATTTAATATACTATTAAAATCGTAAAGTTGAAGAACAACATAAGGTGAAGAATAATAGGGCTTGATATTTCATTATAGTCAGTTTAATAAAACCAATCAGCCTCTTTTCACATGTATTGGTTTTATCATGCATGAATATCAAGTCAGTTTAATTAAAACCAATCAGGCCTCCTTATTCACTATGTATTAATTCGGTTTTAACTATACATAATTTAGTCTTATAAATCTAGTGTTCTAAAGTCCAAATCAGGACCATAAATTTATGTGTAAATGCCGAATAATAATTTCATGAGATTGTAATAAGTGGTGCGTCTATTCAAAGAATGTACACACGGAATATAAAGCGTGCCAATGCCTTTTCAGGAATCTGATCCAAACAGGTTCGGACAATCAACTTATGCCCGCACAATCTTTGTCCGGAGCAACAAATACAGAATAAATAGCCTGGCGAAACCTAGAGATAATTTTGTTGTATAATTTTTATTTTAACACCATCCAGATAATATAAGGTGTTAGAAAAAGAACCCAAACCATAGTATATCGTGTGAAGATAACAAGTCTCGTAAGACCAACGGCGGCTTTCGAATCCTGGTTTTTTCCATTATAAGTACACAATTTTTATATTTTAAATCTAATTTTCAAGATACTCATTCTTATGTAATTCCTTCACACCTGTATTATTTGTGGTTTTTTTGTTGGCAAAAGTTTGTGAATTCATTATTTGGGAAATTATCACTATATAACAAATTAGGAAGAACGTCGAGATGCCAGACTAATCTATGCATTCCTAAAATAAATGAAATTAAGATGATAATTCATTACAAGCAAAATTCCAGAAGACCACTTGTAATTTTTTTTCCTAAAAATATATACAACACAGACCACATTAACTCATTAAGTTCAAGCCATTACATAAATATTTCCTTATAAATAAAGTATGTATAAAGTAGTGATACCGCTGTAGGAAATGGAATATGATACTTACAAATATATGTATAGGCTTTTATATTTGAGATAATCTAAATAATACTGTAGTCAATATATCCATGTAAATAATATTATAAGTTCGTGATAATGAGAATATATGTAGTTATAAGATAGAACCAACAACAAGGTATTAAGCGCTTCTATTCATATATAGAAAAATACACATAAGATATAAAGTGATACAAGATCAAGGAGCAGTCCTATAGAATAGTACTCATAGAAAAAATAAATTTTGTGTAATTCTAAAAATTATTCATCCAGATTAGATCAATATAGAGTTTCTCAAATATATTTCCTATCAAAATATGTCTATAATACAACCCAAAATAAAATACAAGAATGATTTGCTAGCGTAATGGTTGTGTGATTATATTCAATAATATAAGCCTAGATATGACTTTGGCTGGAAATAAATAACTCAACTTGGATGTCACAAAACCAATCACAGCAGCTAAAAACCCTCGCGTTTCGAGATTTTCATTAGACGTAAACGTTAAGAAACCGAAACGGAACTTAGAAGCATCAAAAGTACTTGTGCTTCTCACGGACTAAACAGGGTTCTGATAACCATTCCATATTAATTCAGTATCTGTGCTCAACTCTGGACTAAATCGGAATAACTCCAGCTATTCCTATTCGCGAAACCAGTGAGTAGAAACCATGACAACAGGGGGCAGAGATTGATTGAACATAAATATCGGCCCGACAAAAAGAGAATCCCCAACCAGATAATGGAATATCAGAGATGGTATTATGCTGAAATACTGGTTACGAGTTACTTCAGTTCTATGCAAAGAAACAAGCAATATGGAATATCAGCAATTTACAAAAAAACTGGTGTGAAAAGGGCCAGATATAGAGCACTTTCAATAAACACTAACTACCTCTTTTACGTCTGGAGTCTAGCGCAACCTACATAAATATGTTGATGCAAAAATGACCCAAGCAGCCTTGCGTAAAAGAGACAAAAACGTAATTAACTCTGGTGGTCTATAAATTTGGTGAAGATACTTCACCAAAGAGAAAGATATTTCATTTCCTCAATTAGTTATTTTTCAAAAGAGCGATAAAAATTCGTTGAAGTAGCACGCATCAAAGAAGAGGTCATGTGCTTAACGACGATTTCATATCTGGAATCTCAGAAAAGATTAAAAAGAGAACTTTTATTAGCGACTCGTTGGTCAAAAGTTAAACACTGGGGTTATTTTCTATGTGGAATAAGAAGCTGAACGACGAAGTATGAAGACATCTTCACGTTATTCACCAACAGAATTTAATCATTGAGCACGCAGGGACCAAACCCCAAGTATTATTTTTCCTAATTTTATTCCAACACGCCTTTATACAATGTCCTCTCACTGGGCACATTCTAAATAATCTACACCATCTGCGCTATAGAGCAGTTTATATCCTTAGATATATTCTCTCCTTTGGCATAGAAAACAACAGTTGCAGCCATTCTGATGCTTGTCGTGTGCCTTACAATCTCCAACCTCGTGCCGAACTCTAATTGTGAAAATGGGCTGGGTGCAAATCCATGAACTAATGTGTAATTCTCAAGCCAGAGTATCGGAAACGATTTCCTCCTTTGACGTAGTATATTTAGCTGTGGACCATATAATAGAGCATATCATATAGTTACTTCATTCAATGCTAACCCTCGAAAGTTAATTAAGGCTGGAATAGCTCTACTAACGAAGTAAATGGTCGTAACAACAGTTATTACCAAATTAGTGATTGCTAATAGTGATGGAGCTTGATTATAAGCGTGCCAAGCTTGTGATAACAATCAATTCCCACTTCTCACACAAAAGAAACTCGATAAGAATTTAATATACTATTAAAATCGTAAAGTTGAAGAACAACATAAGGTGAAGAATAATAGGGCTTGATATTTCATTATAGTCAGTTTAATAAAACCAATCAGCCTCTTTTCACATGTATTGGTTTTATCATGCATGAATATCATATAATCAAATATTCTGATTAATCTTTCAAGATGACAGAAAAGCGTGCCAAGCTTGTGATAACAATCAATTCCCACTTCTCACACAAAAGAAACTCGATAAGAATTTAATATACTATTAAAATCGTAAAGTTGAAGAACAACATAAGGTGAAGAATAATAGGGCTTGATATTTCATTATAGTCAGTTTAATAAAACCAATCAGCCTCTTTTCACATGTATTGGTTTTATCATGCATGAATATCATATAATCAAATATTCTGATTAATCTTTCAAGATGACAGAAAAGCGTGCCAAGCTTGTGATAACAATCAATTCCCACTTCTCACACAAAAGAAACTCGATAAGAATTTAATATACTATTAAAATCGTAAAGTTGAAGAACAACATAAGGTGAAGAATAATAGGGCTTGATATTTCATTATAGTCAGTTTAATAAAACCAATCAGCCTCTTTTCACATGTATTGGTTTTATCATGCATGAATATCATATAATCAAATATTCTGATTAATCTTTCAAGATGACAGAAAAGCGTGCCAAGCTTGTGATAACAATCAATTCCCACTTCTCACACAAAAGAAACTCGATAAGAATTTAATATACTATTAAAATCGTAAAGTTGAAGAACAACATAAGGTGAAGAATAATAGGGCTTGATATTTCATTATAGTCAGTTTAATAAAACCAATCAGCCTCTTTTCACATGTATTGGTTTTATCATGCATGAATATCATGGAAGAAGTGAGATGCAAACCATCCATTGACAAGATAAAATTTCAAGCAAAATTCAGCATGTAATTTTCAAATTCAACCATACAAAAAAACCTTACAGCTGTAAAGAGGCCGCTGAATGGAAATATACAATAGTGTAAGGCTTTTGTATCAACGGCTCAAATTCCTGAAAATTTAGTGGTAAAGATATAGTATAAGTAGAACCAACAACCAAAGGTATTAAGCATCAAGAAATTATCCAAAATAGAAACAAGAGCATCAGAAGACAGAAAAATAACTGAACTAACAGCTGCATATAGAGTCCATATTCCATCAGCAAAACCTAATAAAAGGAATGCAGGTGGGAAGCAGTAACCTAATTACCTTCACCACATAAAGCACAAACCGCTCTAGGTCAAGACACCGAAGCAAGAAATGTGCTCCGACAACAACCATTACAGGACGGCCCTCACTATCTACCCCACCACGATAACTGAAACAGAGAGATGATTGAACATAAATATAGGCGACAAAAGAGAATCCCAAAGACATGGTAAATATATGAACTTTGTACTACAAAGAAACTAGAATTTTACAAAAAGGTGATAGTGGCCAAAAATACACTTCACAGCCACTACAAACCAGTGTACACCAGCAGCCTCAAAGGAAAACTAAACTGTGTATGAGAACACAGAATTCTTCAATTAGTTAATTTTCAAGAGCAATAAAAAATTCAGTTATGAAGTAAGCACGCAATCAAAGAAGAGGTGCATGTGCTTACACAATTTTCATCTCTGCAATCTCAGAAAGATTAAGAGAATTTGCTTTAGCAAGGTATCTGGAGTGAAGAGAGTACTCTTCAGCAACAGATAATGGCGGACCACCAAGATCACCAAATCCAAGCATTTTAGCACAATTAAATCCACTCTGCGCTTGAGCAGTTTTTTCCCATTGCTCCTTGCGCCTCTGATCTGGATCCTTAATCAACGACATGAAAGCTGGATCCAGATATGAATCCAAGTACGACGAGTTTCTGTAAGGATAATACTCATCCACTCAGATAATTAGGTGAATATAACAATAGGCCAGTAAAAGTCTAATGATCATGAACCATAAGTCCACTAAATATATATGGACAAGGAAAATACAAGAGCAATAAAAAATGACTTGCACTCACCACAAACGCAACACTGCATATGACAATAATACAGAACTGCTCAGCATTTGGAAGCATTTCATGCTTATAAAGCAATTTTTCCAAGTTATACCTCTTATTAAGCAAAAATAAAGAATATTCATAAGTCATGAAAGCAGCTCCAACCCATATGAAAGAGGGAAATTATTTAGAACAGAAAAACCAGAGAAACAGGGACAGCTGGAATATAAGTTGATGTATCTTTTAAAGTCAAGAGAGAATTTCTTGCCCAGAGATCCTCTCAGCCATTTGCTCCACAGAATTCAAAAGTCAAAGGGGGGCAAGGAACTAAATCAAACATTATTACACCTTCATTCTTCACTATTCCACAGCTCCTTGCTTAGTGGTCCAATAGCAAATACTTTTGGCTTTAAAACGTCAATCTATTTTAAAAATGATAACTACACAGCAACTAAACTTAAGCAGTAAAAGAGCATAAAGTATAATAAGACCTTCAAAGTTATTGGGTAATGTCAGAACAAAGAGTTAATTTCTTGTAAATATCAAATAAACCATTCAGTTGCAATAACACATATCCTACATGTAATCAAATGCATAAAACCAAAGAATTCACTCATGAAAGGAGGAACATATGAATTTTGGCAATGTTAGGTAAAACAGAAGTTAATGACAGAAACCTAGAGCACTCCAATAAAGGTGCATGCCTCATTTTATTATACACACAAATACATATCATCGCAGAGAAGGAATTATACTTCTCACACCAAAAAATGCCAAAATTAAAAACACTAGCTTACTATATAGTTCACCTCCAATTTGGCGTATATTATCTGTAATTTAGAAATGAAAAACAAAACAAAAAATAAAATGTAGCAAACCAAACTGAAAAGCAACCATGACCAAAAACTATACAACAAAATGTCGATGATAATGTATTATTTTGAAGAATAATTAAGTTAAACTAACCTTCGTACCAAGCCAACATCACTGACAGGAAGGTCAACTTCAGCTTGGGGTGGTTTTGAAACAGTTTTCTTGGGTAAAGGCTTTATTCTGATTTTACGTTCATCTATTATTGTCTCGCCATTCTCATCACCAACATCAGCAGGAAGCTTTGAGATTGCCACCTCCTCCTCATGTTTGTCTCGAGGAAAGTAAAGTGGCAGCAATCTACATTGTAAAACAGCAAATGGAATATTCACTAAAATGTTCATGCTTCTATTAAAAGCATACCCATAATAAGAAAAATGAAAAATGCCATGTCACATTGAGGCATCATAACATTTTTTTTAAAGAAATTAGACATTTCACATCTTGAAGGCAACACAAATGAAATACCTCTTATATATTTCAGTATCAGTAGTTGTGGCTGTACAAAAGACAACAGCTGTGATTTTATCTTTTTGCTTCTCAAGAAAACGCCGAACTGTCCCTGAACAATAGAAAATTAAACTTTAATCTGATTTCGATAGAAAAAATGACATGATGGCACACAAAACTGATGCATGAGTTAGAGCACATAATGGGCAGGTCATTCGATAATTTCATCCAAAAAGTAACTAAAAATGGATGGGTAATTAACTTTCTAAGAAATGAGGACAGCACAAAAAGCATGTCCAGATGGAAACATTTGGGAATCTTACTTATTGCAACATGTGCAGCTGGTTCACGTGGATAGTTTTTGGTCTCCGTATATATACAGCCCATAGCAATGCTGCAAGTTTTGTATGTCAAGTGAAAATTAGTCCACATCCTAGGAGAAGCACAATAACAAACAGAATAAATAGAACAAATGGTGTTTCATGTGCTCCCAAACAACCTTTGAAGCCCATTTTCAATCATAAACTCAAGGCAAGACCGATAACAGTGACTCAAAGCATTCTCTGCAGCTGTATGATATTTCACTGCATACTTAGGACCGACTGTGTGTATAACTCTCCTGTCACAAAAATGAGGGGGGAAACAATTAAAGCCTTGCAGCACAATGTGGATACCTTGGAAAAAAAAAAAAAAAAAAAGAAGCACCAAATAGCCAGTATAAGTTAACAAAAATATAAGTATAGGTGAAAAGTGCAAATTTTGTGATACATTGCAAAACATTTACAATACCGCGTGGATTCTATAGCATAAAGAATCATTTTATTTCATGCAAGAATCACTCAAAGACACTCTTTCAAATGCTTGGATAACAATGATAATTTCATGGGATTTTTTGATAGGCTTGCTGGCTGTGGACTTTATATTTGCAAACAACAGACAAACGCTAATAAAAAGATAACACAGCCCTAGCAAAATCACAAGATAACAAGAAAAATACATGCAAATCATACTAACAAACATGAAATACTTTGGCATAAGAAGTAAGATGCATCATTAGAGTTTCTGATATAACATGCACATGGGAGAAAAATACAGGATATCTATTAGTTGTCATATGAGGCATACATGAACAGAATAAAAGACAACGCATAGAAATGCACTGGTATACAGACCTAGCAGGGAGGCCATACGCATTAGTAACTTTCGCCATCCCTGTTCGACATCCACCCTGTCAGAAAACAATTGTACTTCAAGTCATATCTTGCTTCACCTTGAGACATGCACATTAAATTTATCTACTGCAGATACTGTTGATTATGACTCTTTATCCAATGATTAGACATGTGATGTGTTTGATAAATAAATGTGCCAGCAACTAATGCCTTGAGGCAAAGCCTTATCAAACTTACAAATCAAACTAAAAAATTCAGATGATAGCCAAAAAATAAGCCATAGCATACCAGTGTAGCGCACTCTTCTGCAAGGCCAGGTCCAGCTGCTGCATGCAGACCAGGACTGCTGTGTGCTTCATCCAGGTTCTGCAAGCCACCAATTTAAATGCATATGAAGGGTGCTGGAAATGACTCATTTGTTCTAATTACTAGTGTTTACTTCAGAAAACTTAATAGAGAGTTGTATGGCGGACTTCCAGGTAGAGGCTCAAATCAACTTCTGCAAATTTAAACTTTCTGTGTGGCTTTTTCCATAAGTAAACAATTAATACTGTCAGTATTTTGAAACTTACCTCGTTTGTAGAATTCACAACAGCATCAACCTCAAGACTCCATGGGTTTCCCCTCCATAAATAAATTTTTGAGTTGATTTCATGATTGACAGGAAACCTTGATACCATTCCATAGCCACTACTTTCTCCCTCAGTAGAAGATGTTAAAGGATCAGGAAAATATGAATTGGTAAATGAAGGATCATCAATGTCATAAGCAAATGATGATCTATTCTCTGCATCACTCCACCGTGGAACTTGATCCAAAGTCACAACAGAATCCCCACTATCAGTGGGTGATCCACCTCGAGTTGGGGTGGCTGTAGCCCCACTCCAGTACATGTTCTGGAAATGTCAAATCTAAGTATCCTACTATTTGGGCAGCTTTAGCCAGCACGTGTAATGTCCAATAGTTTTACAACCAAAACATCAAAACGCAACCACTTGAATTTTGGAATGAAAAATCACACCCTGGGAAAAGAAAAAATAAATCAAGCTCAAACTAAAACTCATCATCTACACATGTACGATCACAGTTACTCAACAAACCATTATCAGCTCGAAATCAGAACAAATATTTACATACCATATACATAAGCAAGCATTACTCAATTTTCAATAATCTCTATTAATTTTGAAGAGAACTGACAGTAAGAATTTCAACCCAAACAAACAAAATTTTCATTCCTAATAAAACTCATATGACAACGACGCCCAAAAATCCTCAATTCTAATCCAATTCCACTGCAATTAAGTCAAATAAGAGCAAAAAAGCGACACGGAAAATGAAAATCCTATTTTCCTTTTCTTCACCTCCACTTTTCCTCAGTAACCAAACAGATAAAATCAATTTCTGAGGCTTCAAACCCTAATTTTGAGAATATAATGAAGAAAGTTTAATTGAAGAAGCATATAAATCTGAGAGTAGAGAGCCGTACCTGAAATTGGTGAACTTTGAATGATTGAAAAATGGAATTTTATATTTTTTTAATATTCGGTTTGTGAGAAGTTTCATCGCTGGCTCGATCAGCTCGCAATTGGCGAAGCTCACAGTCATTTGGTTTGGCCAGAATTGGAAATGGCATCAAAATCTTATTTGCAATTGTCCTTTTGCGCACCGATTCACCAAAATATCAAAATAATCCCTTTAGTTTTCTCTTTATTCCATTAAGACCTTTTTTTTTGTTTTTTTTTAGAAGAAATGTAGGATTACGGATTGTAATTTGTAGGGAATACCTTATATATACCTTACCTCTTATCTTCAATATAAATTTAAAATTTGAAATTTTAAAATATTTAGAATTTTAATTTAGTATGGCAGAATATCCCTTTGAAGATATTTTTAATATATTTTTATTAATTTGCTTACAATTAAATAAATCAATATAGATGTGGACCTGCCTTTTTCTTCAAACCTATTTAAGATGGAATATTCTATGATCAATTTCTGATCTACTTAAGTGGAGACAAATTGTTAGATGTTTTCTGAAAAAAGTAGAAGGTTTTGGCTTCCAAATTGCAAACCATTTTTACCAACAACAACTATCTTTTCTTTCCTTTTTCCTTTTGGTTTTATGATAATGGCGATAAAATTATATCGCTGTTTAAAATAAAAGATTCATATAATTGATCGATAATAAAATTAAATTGATATTTAAAAATAAAAATTCATATGACTGACTCTAAAGCTTAATTGTTGTTGTTGACGTTGTATACTTATAATAAAATGATTTGATTGCAATTTCTTTTTCTTATTTGGTTTAAGGTTGAAAATACTATCACATGTCCATGATATAATTGTTTGGCTTGATTAGATTAATTTAATATTAATTATAAAATAAAAAATAGAATAATTTATAAGTTAAAAATCATAGTTAAGATACCCTCATTTAACAAATCCTTATAATAATGTCAACTAATTCTTATTTTTAATAAATCCTTTGACTTCGTGTTTCATTAATATATCATTTTTAGTAATTATATTAAATTAAATTACTTCTAATTACATGTTAACTAAATAATTGAACTATTTAATAAAAATTACTTTGAGTAGTTTTGACAAACACTTTCAATTACTTATTTTTAAATTGGTTTAAAAGTTAAAAATTAAAAATATCTAGCCACGCTAATCATATGTGAGATTTATGAATTTCATATAATCTATGCATTATGCAATCATCGAATTTCACATTCCATTATTTAATTAGAAAACATAATTTTTTTAGTTTTAAAGTATTTTTTTTTAAAACAAAAATAAATGGTTTAAATCTCATAATTTATGAAAGAATTCCACCTCTTCAGGTTTCTGCAGCCATATTACTCTAATTTGCATATATAATTTCAATTAAGACCAAATCACATAGGATTTTGCTCTCTATTAGGTTGAATAAATAAACTAGTGATCAGCTGTAAGGAAAAGTAATCACTAAAACAGTTTCAATCTTTGATTCCAGCCTTCTGTTTCAGCATGGAAATGAACTTTTCTTTTTCTTCCGGCGACATTCCCTCTGCAGAACAATCTCCGACACCCCATTCTGCTCCACGAACACAGTACTTGTCAAGTATTTCTTGACGATTCCTGCAGAAAACTTGATAATATTAATGTATGTAAAGATGACAACTTGATAATATTATTAGTTTTAAACTAACTACTAAATAATCACTTTTCTTTGTTCTGCTTGGATCGCTCTAGTAGCTTCTTAAGTATGGGAGATGATTTGAATCGTTCATCATTTTCTGCATACTTCTTCTGGTTTTCTTCTGCAGGAGATAATGACAGTTGATAAATACCAGGCAAAGCATGAAATAAACTTGGAAAGAATGGTACTGGTATATAAAATGAACAAACCATTGAACCGGCTAAGGAAGTCGATTTGAGGAAGTTGGGGACCAGGGACCGATTCTAACCCAGAAAATCCTGACATAAATCCAGCTCTAGCTGCAATGTAAAACCCATAAAAAGCAACCAACTTATTATGTACAATCCTTGTTCGCCATTGTTTCATTATGCTCAATAAATTGCTAATGATGAACTACTTGAGTTAATAGCAAATTTATTAATAGAGAAATTAAGCAGAAACACATACGGAAGAGAAGAAATTAAATTACCTGGAGTTGCAGAGAGAAGCAAAGCAAGAGAAGCAGCCAAAGGAAGAGACTTGTGAATGGTGACTTTGACTTGTTGGTAATTAGATGGTAAACAACAAGAAGCAGATGAAGAAGAAGAAGAAGAAACTGTGGGTTTGGTATTGAATTTGAAGCCAATTTTGGGAGATGAAATGTGAGAGAGAGTGTTCATTATTCTCCCCAAGCTGCGAAAGTAAGATAACAAGAGCAACAAACGGCTGATATTAATCAACCAAAGTTCAATAAGCAGGCTTTCGTGTCAGTCAATTATTGGTTCCGCGGTTTGGGCAGGGATATTTAACATTTTTATAATTTTATTTTAAAATCATTTATTCAAAATTTTTACGGAAAAGTAAATTGATAAAAAAAATAAAAAATTCTCAAATTCTCAAAGGATATAATAATAATATTTAACATATGTTTTTCCTTCTTCTCTTCCTTATTGATCTCCTTACACAGTTTCTCTTAATCATCAAACCTCAACAACATCCACGTAACTCTCTTGTCTTTCTGTTAGTCTCTTTTGCTCTCTCTTTTGAAATTAATTGGGTGATATAAAACTTCAAGTAATTTGGGCTTTTTTTTGGGCTTTTTCGAGTACAATGTCCTATTTGCCCTAAATTGACCCGTTGAAGAAAAAAGATAAATCGATCCATCATTAAAGGCCCATTACCAAATTGCCTAAGATCCGTTTCTGTTTCTTTGAGTTTGTTCTTTTTTGGGTGGGAGAGATCCACTAATGAAGGCCCATACAAAATTTTTGCTCCTTTTTTTTTTTTTTTTTTAAAGATTTGTGTATTATTTCTATTATTTTTGTCTGTTTGCTAATGATTCATTTGTCCTTAAGAATTTGAATGATATTTTATTGTGAATATGGTTGACTTTTTTTTTCCCATTATTTTTTCAGTTTTTATGAATTTGTTTACAGCATATGGACGAGGAAGGAAAGAAGGTAGATAAAAGCCAAACGGTGCGTCTTGTGCTAACTATTTTCTTGGAGTATCTCACTCAAGCTATAAATATGCACCTAAGGTCAGATTGGGGTGCCCAACGGGGTTAAAGACATTTTTGAGTACAATTGGTACAACTCTGAAAAGTTGAGGCCAGTCAAATTTAGCTGTCAAAATATCATATTATTTGGTAATAAAACTTTTATTTTAATATTTAAAATTTGAGGAAATGGATTATAATTTTTTTCAATGTTTGAAACATTAATTAAATAATTGTATATAAGTACTAAAATAAACAATTTTGCCGAATAAGTTAAAATAAAATTTTAAATTAACAAATAATGTTAAAATTTTTGCCCCTACAATTAAATATAAAAATCATATTATGCCCTCGGTTTACAGAATATAAAAATCATAAATCTGAGACTGGTGCAAATATGGGTTTGTCAATAATAAAATGAGGGCTGATAGGTCATTGCGGGTTTGGAAATACTGGTGGTACCGATGATGTTGGAGTTTGTCAAGAATTTAATGCAAGTGTTGTTTGGTGGAGAGACAACGATTAAATGTGCTAGAACCAACCAAGGGGAGTGATGGAGATGACTCCAAAAGGGCAAGAGCTGGATGATCTGTCACCGTTAAAGGTTGGAAAAAAAAAAAAAAGATTAGAATAAAGGTACGTGATTAGACATTTGCAAAATATAGGTCGGCACGGTTAAGATAAGAAAGTGCAGAAAGAAACTTCATATTTAGTTTTTTTTTTTTAAATATATTCCGATATCTATCAATACTCTATATATAAAAGTAAAAATTATGGAAATAATAAAATTATTTATAATAATTTTAGTGAAATTTAAAAATCATAGATAATAATTTGAGTTTACTAATGACATGAATTTTTTTAAATTCATTTGAAGTTTTTATAGGTGAAAATAATACTACGGGCTATAAAATATGGGATAACTCTTCCCTTTACTCACCAAATTGATGAAAACACATGTGGTCGAGAGGACTCGAACTCGAGACTTCTCACTCCTCATTAAGTAATAACATAAATTTTTAATAATTGATAAATTATGATAAAAGATTATTAATCAATTGACTTTTTCAATAATTTTTTATTAATTGATCTAAAAAATTTACATGTGGTTAAATCTTGGTTACATTCGACTATTTCTCAATTTCATATTGAATTAATTATTAAATTAATCAATAATTATATTTATCTTTAACGGTATCCATGAGTATTTGTTTAAATTTTATTTTTTATAATATATGTAATTATTTATTTTATTGCAATACTGGAGTATGTCCCTAACTTTTTTTTTAACATTCGTCTAAATTAAATTATTATATCAAACAATGTAAATATTTCAAATATATAAGGAAAAATCATGAAAAAATAATTTAAGAATTTTTAATAAGAAATCAAAATAAATTTACTTTCTAAAAAATGTAATGTGGATGGATATTTAATATAGCACATGATATTTTCTTTTAAAATAACATTTTTAATAAATATATATGATAAAGAGACATTTGAAAATTTTTTATTTTATTTTATAAATTTATTTTTTAAATTACGTAATATTAATTAATCAAATATATTATATAATAATTAGTGCTTTATACAGCGTATCCCTATGTGGACGTATTTGGTTTAAATTTATTTTGCTTATCTCATAATTATATACTTGTAATTTTGAGTGTATTATGTGCAATCTACTGGATATGTTCCTCCCCTATGAACTTTATTTTAACTATTCGTTCTAGAATTAAATTATTATAGTCAAACAATGTAAAATATATTTCAAAGTACTATATACAGATAAAATACCATGAAAATAATAATAATATATTATACGTTTTACTAATTTTTTAATAAGAAATCAAAATAAATTTACTTTTTCTAAAAAGGTGGTCTGAATGTTGGAAATGGTATTTAACTATGAGCAACAGAAAATACATAAATATAAAATATCAATTATGAATAATACATAATATATTGAGGATTAAAGTGACATTTGAAAATTTTGTAGCAATTATACTTTATATTTGTATTTTAATTGAATGATATTGATTCTATTTTTTTCATTATATTTAAAAATATTTATTTATGAGGAGAGATAAAAAAAAGTTAGATTTTTATCTAAACACTCCAAATAGGATATATACAAATAATAACTCATAATCTTAAAGACTTTATATATATATATAATAATCACTCTCGAATAATATGTAGGTGTCATGCTCAGAACATATCTGAAATAATTTTAATTTTAAAAAAGTAATAATGTTTTATATTTTATTATTAATTTTATGTATCAATGTAATATATAAGTAAAGACATATTAATAAATATTAAAGTATAATAAAATTTAAACACACGACAATATTAAATTTAAGCTGAAAAATGTGTGTGTATATATACACTCCTGTTTTATTAATTTACTCGTGTGAGTGAGTTTCACATTAATTTTATATAAGAACTATTTTGTGAATACACTTATCAAATTCGGTTAAGATTTAACTCTACACACCCAATAAAGAAGTCTTACCAATCAATATTTAATATTAAAAATAAAAAATAAGTATAAATAATAAGTAAAAATATGTTAGCCAAAAATTATAGTGCATATTAAATTATTGAATCTAACAATGTATAGTGTAATATACTAAGTATAATATTATTACGTCACATTCAATAAAGAACAAAAGACATACGAGAATCGATAGCTATATTTAAGTGTATTTAGAAATAATTTAGAAATTAATTTATTACTTTCAGAGATAAAATTGACCTATATTTGTTATGAAAATCTTAAATAGTCCACGATATAATATTAGTGTTGTCTTTGGTTATAAGAAAAGGCTGTATAACTTTCTTTTCTTTTTTCTGTATACCACAGATAACCATTCATGTAGGGTGGCATATAGACTGTATGTCTTTTAGTAAGCGAGGATGTCTGTAACTGAACCCAAAATATTGAAATCATCCGAGTCCCCAGTTAATAGCCTGCAGAAGGCTTCAGTAAGTCTCTCGGTCCTGCTCCGTGTACTTTTTCTTTCTTCTAGTTAAGATGATATTGCCCTTTCTCGTGACGGGCAGAATTTGCTGTCATTCTGTCCATCACCATGTCTAAAATGATTTTTTTTTTCTCAGAGAAATCGCATTTTCAAACCCTTCTAAACCAACAATATGAGTCCTCTGCCAAATATTATCTCTCCAGGTCTGTAAGCGCGTCGAATAATTAATATGGTTGCCGTACTAATTAATTTGTAAGAAGACTACGACAATTATTCATGGCAATTGGAAAGTGAAAGAAATATTTGCTGATTCTAATTTTTAAATAGATAAACATATTTACACAATAACAAAATTTGAATATAGTTACTCTATCAAATAGATAATAATTTTATTGGTAAATACATATTACAGTCTGACAATAAAAGTCAGATTTTACAATTCTCCTTTTCTCCAAGCAACAAAAATAGTAATAAACACAGTTAATAGATCCCTCAAGCATTAACATTATAAAATCTAAATAATATAAAATAAAAATTACAATCAATATTTAATATTAAAAATAAAAATAAGTATAAATAATAAGTAAAAATGATATAAAAAATTGAATAAATATGAATAACAAGTATAGTAAAAACTAGTTAATATTAAACGTCACATTCAATAAAGAATCAAAGTGAAAAATTATTGATAGTATATTAATTATTAAATAATTTAGAAATTAATTATACTTTCAGAGAAAAATGACTATAATTTTAGATATATAAGATATTATTAGTGTTTGGTTAAAGAAAAGGTATAAGTTTTCTTTTTTCTTTTTTCTATACCACAGATACATTCAAGTGGCATTCTGATGTCTTTTTAAGCGTGTACTGAACAAATATTGAAATCCACCAGTGCCATTAATAGCCTGCAGAGCTTCAGTAAGACTCTCGTCCATGCCTTTTACTTTTTCTTTCTTCTTTAAATAATTGCTTTCTCGTGCGGGAGGTGTCATTTGTCATCACCCATCTAAATGATTTTTTTTCTCAGAGAAATCGCATTTTCAAACCCTCTAAACTTTTTTCTATTTTTACTAATATGAGTCCCTGCATATTAATCTTCCAATGTCTGTAAGGGTCAATAATTAATATGGGTGCCGTACTAATTAATTGAAGAAGACGACGACATATTATTCATGCAATTGGAAAGTGAAAGAAATATTTGCTGATTCTAATTTTAAATAGATTTAAATCATATTTAAATAAAATTTAATATGTACATCAAAATATAATTTATTGGTAAATACATATACAGTCTGACAATAAAAGTTCAGATTTCAATTCTCTTTTTCCAAGCAACTAAAAATAAATAACATAAAGATTCAACATAACATAGTGATTTATTTAGTAATACTAATTACCGGAGAAAACTCAGTTCATGAACCCTAATACATTTACTTCCATTTCTCAATTAGTTCCTTGATCACAATTTCATTGCTACCACCATCACCGACAGCCTTCCTTGCCTCCACCCTAATGTGTTCAGCTCTCAATTTCAACTCTTCACTTGTCATCATTTCTTTAATTCTTTCCCCAAGTTCTTCCCCTTTCACTACCATCTCTGCAGCCCATCCCCAAGTTCTTGTCCACAAACCAAACCCACCCCTGTCGATTGCCTCTGCATTTACCTTCTGATCTCCTTTTGGAGGCCATGCAAGCAAGCGCACGCCATGCCATATAGCCTCAAGCACTGAGTTCCACCCACAATGACTTACAAATCCACCTACTGCTTCGTGACCAAGAATCTCTCCTTGGTTAACCCATTCTTTAACTACTAACCCTTTTCTTTCTAGCTTCTCCATTAAATCATTTCCAAGAACCTCATTCAAGCTCTCTGTATCTTCTTTATCAAGTTCTTTATCTTTTACTACCCAAAGAAACGGATACGCACTCGTTATTAATCCGTTTCCTATCTCTTTTATCTGCTTTCTTGACATGGCTGCTTTGCTGCCAAAATTCATATACACTACTGACCTTGGAGATTGATTGTCAAGCCATTTCATTATTTTGTTTTCTTCTTGAAGATGTTTCTCAAAATCACATGGCATAAGTACAATAGGATATATAGGCGGCACCCCATCAACTACTTTACCGCTATTAAGAGCAGTTAATGACTCTGATTCTAACGTTTCAAGGGTTGGAATAAAAATGCCGCTCAACTTAGGGATCTTCTTACTATCTTCCATGAAAATGGAGTAGAAGATGCTTTTCGGTTCGAGAAGTAAAGGAGGGACTGTCGATTTAGCCATTGGCCAAACGCCTGGAATTTCAATAACATCATTATTATCATTAGATCTAGTGGAAGAAGAAGTCATGTATGCACTAAAATAAGCGAAAAGACAGAACATTCTTGCACAAGAAGGGAATTGAACATAGACAGGAAGATTTAAATTTTCAGTAATTTCAATGACGGAGGGAAATAAGGTTACGTCAGAGACAAGAGCAGAAGGAAATGGAGATAATGACAAGAGAAGTGGCAAGAGAAGATGACGAACTGAACGACGAGCAGTTTCCCATTGGAGAAGAAAAGGGTCGTCAATATTAGAATTGACATTATTGGGATCATGAGGAAGAAGATGAAGTTGTTTTTCTTTGACTTGAGGAAAAGCTGATAGGAACTTAGAGATGAGTTGAGACTCGGCGAGTGTGAGAATAGGATGGCAAGTGATTAGAGTTATTTGACAGTTATGGTGAAGAAGTAACGCAGCTACGCGAAGTAAAGGTGTAAGATGACCTGCACCAGAGCTGGTCAGGAGAACTACTTGAGGAAGACGATGGGTACCGTTAGAACTTGACATGTCTACCCAACTATGGAAATTACTATTGAGTAGTAATGGAAAAGCTTTCGTTCGGATATAGAACAAGGTTGTCTATAGATTATATATAGACACATATGAGGTGAGGTGATATCATGCAAGTAATAATGGAAATTACACATTTGGCATACAAAAATTGTTATCTATGTTTTTTCTCGGGAAATAAGAACAAATTGGAGATAATAAATGATAATTAGATATTGGTTTCATATATGTATGGATCCCAATGTAGAGTATAAATAAAAATTTTCCATTACGATACAGAAAATATAAATAATTATTTCCCTTCACCAACTGCATATAATTAGTGCCCATATTGTTATTTTTATTTTAAGTAGTACAAACAAGTATATTTTTGTTTTTGCATTATAATATATATATATACACATATATATATATATAAATACAATTATGGGCATAGCCGGTGTGTCATGGTGCAATCAGTGCTCCATTGTCATTTCATTGGGAGGCTAAAGTTCTTTAAGATAAAAAGACGATAGTATTAATTGTCTACTCTTTTTTTCTCTTTTTCTTTTTTTTTTTTTTAACATGCTGGAATAATGTGGTAAGGTAAAGATTTAAGGAAATAATAAATCTTTAATCCCGAGTTATAGTTAAATTAACATATTAACTCTCTTTAAAAAAAATAATTAACAAATGGACTTCTATTGCTAAAATTAACTGTTAGGTTTTTAAATTATGGAACACTTTAATCAAAATGATTTTGATTCTATTGGCACAACATTATTTCAAAATACAGTACTACCTCTGTTTCATAATATTTGTTATCACATTTGAAATTTCATGTGTTTAAAAAAACTATTAAATTTCTATAGGTTAAAATACCCTATATTAACTTTAATTTAATATTATTTCTCTAAAAAAATTATTAAATTAAAATAATAATTATTGGTATATACAACGGATAAATATGAAAAAAGATTTATTACTTATTAAAACCATAAATGTGATAAATATTTTAAAATAAACTATTTTTTTAAAATGTAATAAATAAAATTAAACCACAAGTGATAGGATGAAAATAAATAACGTCACGTTAAAAAACTAGTGAAAAAAAAAAAAGAAACAAAGAAAATTAATTAACACGGGACGGGCATGCACCATTTATAAAGTGCTGCCCTGCTCGTCAACGGGTAAAAACTGAATAATGGCCACACAAGTCCACAACAAACACAAACCTACCTCCTTTTATTAATATGCCAAATGATAAAAAAAAAAAAAAAAAAAAAAATGCCCACCATTTATAATAGTGCTGCCCTGCCTCGTCAACGGCGTTAAAACTGAATAACTATGAGCCACACAAGTCCACAACAAAACACTTAAAAACCTACCTCCTTTTATTATATATGCCAAATGATTCTAAAAAAAACAAAAAAAAAAAAAAAAGAAAAGTAAACAATAAAAATTATTTTGATCCTCTCGCTCATAATTTTAGATCGATTTTTTAAAATTGTAGTACTTGATATCTTTGTTGTTTCTATTTTTCCACAATTAAAAAAAAAAAAAAAAAAAAAAAAGAAAAGTAAAAAAAAAAATATTTTGATCCTTGCCATAATTTTAGTCGATTTTTAAAATTTAGTACTTGATATCTTGTGTTTTATTTTTCCACAATAATTACAATCTCTATATAATTTGTGTTTTATTTTTTAAATGTGTGTTGATATATTTTTCATAAACACTCTTCAGCGTTTGAACCTTTTAAAAAAATAATTATTTAATTTTCCTACCTAATATTAAAAATTAAAAATTATTCAAATTCATTAAAAATTAAATTATTCAAATAGTCAAGTTAACAAAATTAGAACTTAATTAAAGCTACATATTCTTCCATTTCTCAATAACTTCAATTACAGCATTCTTAGAATTACCACCATCATCAACAGCTTTCCTTGCCTCTTCCCTAATTTCTAAAGCTTTCAATTTCAAATCTTCATTTCCCATCATTTCTTTATTCTCTCTGCAATCTCCTCTCCTTTCACCAATCCATCCCCAACTTCTTGTCCCTAACCCCAATCCACTCTTCTCCACCACCTCTGTATTCACCTTCTGATCTCCACTTGATAACCATGCCAGAAGCCTCACCCCATGCCATGCTGCCTCCACCCACAATGGCTCAAAAACCCACCTATTGCTTTATGCCCAAGAATCTCCCCTTGTTTGACCCATTCTTTAACTACTTATCCTTTCTTCTTAAGCTTCTCCATTCAATCATTTCCAACTACTTTACTCAAACTCTCTACATCTTCTTTATCAACTTCTTTATCCTTCACTACCCACTTGCTATTAATCCATTCCCTATTTCTGTTACTTGCACCCTTGACATTACTGCTTTGCTACCAAAATTGACATACACAACTGATTCTTGTAATTGATCATCAAGCCATTTGATTATTAGCGAACTCTCAATTCCACTTAGAAATCGCATGGTGCAAGTCCTATAGTAAAAACTGGAGGCAACCCAGTTACTACTTTCCCACTCTTAAGTGCACTTAGTGTGTCTAATTCTAATATTTCAAATGTGTTATTAAAATTCCACTCGATTTTGTAATGTTCTGTGCACCTTCCATGAAAATTGAAGCAAAGATGCTATCTGGGGCTAGAAGTAAAGAAGGAATGACTGATTTCGGCATTGATAAAGCACCTGGAATTTCAATAATACCACCTGTTTGTGAAAAGTCAACAGTAGCAGTAGCAGTAGCTATGGGATAGTATGCAAAGAGAGAACATTTTTGCACTATAAGTGAAGAGAACGTGAAGAGGGAGATTCAAGTTTTGAGTAACTGGAACAGCGGAGGAAATTAAAGTCATGTCGGAGAGAAGAAGAGAGGGAGATGGAGACAATGAGGACAGGAGTGAGGGGAGAAGATGAAGAACTGATTGACAAGCAGCTTCCCAATGGAAAGAAAAAGTTTCGTTGGAGGTGGAGTGATTAGGATCAGGAGGAGGAAGATGAAGTTGTTTGTTTTGAACTTGAGGAAAAGCTGAGAAGAAACGGGAGATAAGTTCAGACTCTGCGATTGTGAGGATTGGGTGGCAGATTATAAGAGTAACATGACAGTGATGGTGAATAAGAGAGATAGGGAGTCGAAGGAAAGGTGTAAGATGGCCAACACCAGAGTTGGCGAGCAGAGCTACATGATGACTGATAGTCTACAACTGGACCGAAAGATGGATGAGATATCAGATAATGGATAAGTTGAAAAACAAACATAAAAAAACCCATTTTTTCCAACTAAGAAATACAAAATATTTGTAAAATGAATTACTATCATACTTCTCAGCTCCACTAAAATTTTTAGATAAAGGGGGCCCGTACAACAAGTTTTAATAGAAAAAATTTTCAAAATAAGGATCAATAAAAAATTTGAGAAAATTATTTTCAAGTCCCTGAAGCTTTACAAAATTTATTAGTTCATTTTTATCGTTCTTATTATTCTGTAGTTTCTGACGGATGTTTAAAGTAATATTTTTTCTGTTACGGAGAAACGGAAATACCTTTATGGGACCAATAAACAAATTAAAAACAA